TCTTGCTGAGCAACGGTTGCCCTGCAGTATCACCTGGTAGGCACGTGGCCCAAATGATGGAAGGCTGGTTGGAGGCGGGACTCCGATGAGCCCGGCCCTGCTGGGACATCTCCCCAGTTCCTCTCCTTTGCCCTCAGGATTCTGTGATCCACGCCCAGGCATCTGAGCTGCAGGTCACCCCACCATGCTCCACAATGACCCCAGTCAGCACTCCATTGCGTGGGGTCACGGAGGAGCTGAGGGCGGGGCCTCTGTCTTGACCACTAGCTTTTCACCCTACCCAGACGGCACGTGACTGAAGGTTGAATTTTCTTGATAATGGAACAGGATTTCCCAAAGCACAAAGAATTCATGTAAGGATGAATATCTTCCCAAATGGGAAGCTCTGTTCGAGGAGACCCTGTATCCCCACTTTCATCCTTAGTTCTGCAGGCCCAAGAACTCTGCTAGGGCAGAGGGGCCAGGAAGAGGGTCTGCTGTGCACCAGAACTGGACTTCAGAGAGGCCCAAATCTCAGGAAATGAGGACCAGCTCTGACCCGAGAGTTCCTTTTCAGTCATTTAGGCCCAGCAGGAGCGCGGGCATCTTAGGACCGTGGGGAGAATGCCTGCTTGCCTGCAGGAGGAGAGAGGTGCTGGCTAATCTCTAATGGGACTCCTCAGACACTTGGGGGCTGATCCCCCTTTTCCCTTTCTTGCATCCCTCACAGCCCTTTGTTTTCCTCCACCTTATGGGAACTTGACCCTCACAAGCACAGCTGGTGATCCATACCTGTAAGAGATTTCCAGGGCCATGGTTCTATCAGAGTACCCAGCTTACTGGCCTCCCTCTTCCCACCTGGGCTGCCTCTGGATTAGCATCACTCAGGGGGGGAGTACCTGTGTCCAGCTCAGGTACCTGCACTCTGGGACACACACTTTCCCAGCAGGCCTTGCTTACAGGCTCCAGCCCTGGCAGGCAGGCCAGGGTGACCTGACTGAGCTCTGGTGACCCCGGGCGGGTGTCCTGCTGTGGGCCCCGGCTCTCCTGGGCCTGCTTCATCATCTGTGTTGGTTCTGGCTCTTTCTTCCTGAGTAAACTCTCCATTCAAGAGCTGGGGTACTACTCCTTGAGGGAACTTGATGGACCTCTTGCTTTTCATCCCCCATTTCCAGCTCCTTTTTCCAGATGCTCAGGATGTGTAGACCTCGAGGCTCACACAGATAACCTGCAGTCTTATCTCTCTGGGTTCCCCTTTCCCCACCCTTCCTAGGGCAGTTCACTCAGGCATGTGAGAACTCCACAGCAACACAGCAGACCAAGATGGCCACCAGTGACCCATCCATTCTCAGATAAAGTGACCCGTGGACTGTGCCTCCATGGTGACCTTCAATGGCCCCAGGGGTGTCGTCCGACACTCCTGGGATAACCCATACTCTGGACTGTATTATCCACTCTACAATCAGCACCACTCTGTCCAAAAGCTGTTCTGGGGAAACACTAAGGGCATCATTTGGTGGAGCCTAGAATCCGCAGATTTCAGAACAGGTGCAGTGATCCATCTCCCTGTGGAGCGTTCCATGTGGTCCAGGACAGGGCTAGAGGCATCATGGACCGGACTAGAGGCATCATGGACCAGACTACATGATGGCAGACCAGACTACGCAGGCCAAGCACTCCACTCCACACAGGAAAAGCATGGGGGTAAATGGACAAAACGAACATGTGGGTCTCGGGTATAGAGCAAGCTGAGCTGAGATGTCATTAGTTTAAGAGCATTGGCATAGGTTGGATTCTCCCAGAAGCAGACCTTTTAGACAAGGATATAAACCCAAGCAGTTGGGAAGCATGTCACAGTGATTGAATGTCAGCGACATGTCCAGTGATTGAATGGACAGCTCCTAGCACCCTGTGCAGACACACACCTGTAACCAAAAAGTTGAGCCTCTTTGATCTGGGCTGTCTCCATGACCAGCTCTGACCAATCTGAAGGGACAGTGGTGGTATTCTGAAACTTCTGAGCTCACGCTTTAAGAGGCAGCTTCTGTTTTCATCTGGGGGTGTGTCCAGCTGCCAAGTGAAGAAGGTCAGGTAGACTACTCTATGACACAAGCTCAGGGGCTCCCACCATCCCAGCTGAGGCAGCAGACTTGCAACTGAATATGGATTGGGTATCCCAGCCCCAGCTGAGCTCTCAGCTGAAGACAGCTGTGTGAGGGAGCCCACTGGTCCCACGCATCACAGAACAACCGCCAGCTGAGCCCAGCAAATACAGAGACATAAGGAACTGCGTAAAGCCACTACTTTGGGGATTGTTACATAACAGAAGTTAACTGATAGAGGCAGTAATGTCAAGAAGGACAACTAGGGGAGTGGGGGAGGGGCCAGGAAAGAAAAAGAAGCTAAAGAAAGTGTGTGGTGACAAATTGAAATGATAATTAGTAATCACAGCTCAGGTGTACAAAAATGGAGTCAGAGGGCCACTGAGGATTTGGTCTCAGACACATCCCAGCATCACTGAGAACTTGAATTTTCTCTGAACTGTATCAAACTCATGGACACCACCAGCCACTTTTAAAACATCTGCTAGCAGCTGCCAACTGCAACCTTGTAGTTTCAAAGTTCCCCCCTTTCACACTATGTAATCCTTCCAGACCATGACCCATCTTTGCTTAGCAAGCACCCTGACTTCTTGACAGCCCCAATTCTAATTCTTTACTTTTTTAATTTTTTGTTGAAGTATAGTTGATTTACAATGTTGTGTTAGTTTCTGCTGTACAACAAAGTGATTCAGTTACACATATATATACATTCATTTTTTCATATTCTTTTCCATGATGGTTTGTCACAGAATATTGAATATAGTTCCCTGCACTGTACAGTAGGACCTTGTTGTTTATCCATTCTATATATAATAGTTTGTATCTGTTAATCCCAAACTCCCACTCCATACCCTCCTCCTTGGCAACCACAAATCTCTATGTCTGTGGGTTCATTTCTGTTTCATAGATAAGTTCATTTATGTCATATTTTAGATTCCATATATAAGTGATATAATATGGTGTTTATCTTTCTCTGTCTGACTTATCTATACTTCACTCTAGTTCCATCCATGTTGCTGCAAATGACATTAGTTCATTCTTTTTTGTGGCTGAGTAATATTCCATGGTATACGTGTACCACATCTTCTTGATTCATCTGTGGATGGAGAATTAAGTTGTTTCTGTGTCTTCTCTACTGTGAATAGTGCTGCTATGAACATAGGAGTGCATGTATCTTTCTAAATTATAGTTTTGTCAGGATATGTGTCCAGGAGTAGGATTGTCGGATCATATGGCAACTCTACTTTTAGCGTTTTTGAGGAACCTCCATACTGTTCTCCATAGTGGCTACACCAACTTACATTCCCACCAACAGTGTAGGAGAGTTCCCTTTTCTCCACGCCCTCTCCAGCATTTATTTGTAAACTTTTTAATGATGGCTATTCTGACTGTTGTGAGAGTACCTCATTGTACTTTTGATTTTCATTTCTCTAATTAGTGATGTTGAGCATCTTCTTATGTGCCTGCTGGCCATCTGTATGTCTTCTTTGGAGAAATGTCTATTTAATTCTTCTACCTATTTTTCGATTGGGTTGTTTCTTTTTGTTGTTGTTGAGTTGTATGAGCTGTTTGTATACTTCAGAGATTAAGCCCTTGTCAGCCGCATCATTTGCAAATATTTTCTCCCATTTGGAAGGCTGTCTTTTTGTTTTGTTTATGTTTTCCTTTGCTGTGCAAAAGCTTATAAGTTTGATTAGGTCTATTTGTTTATTTTTGCTTTTATTTCTCTTGCTTGGGAGACTGACCTAAGAAAACATTGGTATGATTTATGTCAGAGAATGTTTTGCCTATGTTCTCCTCTAGGAGTTTTATGGTATCATGTCTTATGTTGAAGTCTTTAAGCCATTTTGAGTTTATTTTTGTGTACGGTGTGAGGGTGTGTTCTAACTTCATTGATTTACATGTTGCTGTCCAACTTTCCCAATACTACTTGCTGAAGAGACCATCTTTTCTCCATTGTATATTCTTGCCTTCTTTGTCAAAGATTAATTGTCCATGGGTGTGTGGGTTTATTTCTGGGCTTTCTATTCTGTTCCACTGATCTATATGTCTGTTTTAATGCCAAGACCAGAATTATTTTTTAACATAGTATCCACCATTTATTGAACATATACTCTGTGTCTAAGTTCAATAATTAAGACATTTAATCCCCACAGCAATCCTATGAGGTAAGTAGATACTTATGATGTAAGAATTTTAATTATCCTCATTTTACATATGACGAAACTGAGGCAGAGAGAGGTGAAATGGTCTGACTTCAGAGCCCACATTCCTTACCACCACATTGTGCTATTTTTTTCTAATTTTTTTTTATTACTGTTGCTTTACAATGTTGTGTTAGTTTCTGCTGTACAGCAAAGGGAATCAGCTATATGTATACATATATCTCCTCTTTTTTGCATTTCCTTCCCATTTAGGTCACCACAGAGCACTGAGTAGAGTTCACTGTGCTATACTTTCGGTTCTCATTAGTTGTCTATTTTATACATAGTAGTGTATATATGTCAGTCCAGGCTGTTTTGATTACTGTAGCTTTGTAGTATTGTCTGAAGTCTAGGAGGATTATGCCTCTTGGTTTGTTCTTTTTCCTTAGGATTGCTTTGGCAATTCTGGGTCTTTTATGGTTCCATATCCATTTTAGTATTATTTGTTCTAGTTCTCTGAAAAATGTCATGGGTAATTTGATAGGGATCACATTAAATCTGTAGATTGCTTTAGGTAGTATGGCCATTTTAACAATATTAATTATTCAAATCCAAGAGCATGGGATATCTTTCCATTTCTCTGAATCATCTTTGATTTCCTTTATTAATATTTTATAGTTCTCAGCATATAAGTCTTTCACTTCCTTGGTCAGGTTTCTTCCTAAGTAATATTTTTTTGGTGTGATTCTAAATTTTTTTTTTTTTTTACATTTCTTTTCTATTTCATTGTTAGTGTAAAGAAATGCAACTGACTTCTGTATGTTAGTCTTGTATCCTTCTACCTTGCTGACTAATCCTTGACAATTTATGTAGCCTTGCAGTTTTGCCTTTATAAGCCTCCTCTTATTTTGTAGTCCTGTGCAATGCAATTCAAGGGCCTCCTGAATCTGTGTCTCCTGGGCTGCAGTCCTAACAAACCCCCAATAAACACCCCTTTATTTCTGTCCGATCTCTATTTCTCAAGTTCTGGATAACACATGCACTGAGGTGCATGTTCCTGACCAAGCAGCTGAGGCTCCACTTTGCTGGACACCTCAGGCAACAGTGTTCAACATCCCTCAGCATTATCCCCTTTGCAGCAACTAAGAGCTGGAGTCATTTTTCCACCAACTCCCAATGGTTACCGGTTGGAGGTGCTACTTGTAGATTGCCTCCCTCAGGCATGGACCATCCCAACAGGAAAAAGAAATACTCCAGTGGAGAGTTCTGGGTGATATAGTGGACTGGCACAGACAGGAACATGGCCGCTGCAGAGATCCAGGTGGGAAGTGCCAGTGATGCTGCCCATCGGTGGAGTTCTGGGAGCTGGTGCCATCAACTCTGTGAAGAACTGTTCCCATTAATATTCATCTTACTCTCACACTCCACATTCTGGTGTCTTTCAGAATCAAATCTCTTTTTGTAAACACATTGGCTTCCATTCAGATGTTAAGACAGCTCAAGTATTACAATCTGTTTGCGAGCACTTTTATCAATGTACTGGTTAACATAAACCTTTACTATTACTCATAAAATTACTGAGACTCAATATTTATTTAGCCATCTTACTGTGGCCATGAATTCCACAAGGCCACTATCTGTTGCATAAAGAACTATTCATTTTAGCATGCTCTAAATTGACTACGTTCTTAATTTCCCTTAGTGTCTCGATGACAAACTTTATACGCAGGTATTTGGAAAGTCACAGTCATTCATCCTGTTGCTCACAACTCATTGAAGAACAAGAATAACGTTCATGGTCTTCCCATTGCTGGAGTGCTGCCTGGACCTCAACAGGTTTAAATGCTGAATTTTAAAACAACAGTTAAAATATTTCATTGCCACCTCATGAGGCTGAACTGTCTCTTTTTCATGAGTGCTTTAGATACCTTGGCTCTTTTTTCCATCTTTCCCACATTCTGTTTAAGCACCCTAATACATAAGATGATTCAAATAATTGTTAATTTAGAGGTAAAGTTATGCTTAAATAATCAAAATAAACATATTTACACTACATTCCAAGCAAAATGAATCTATGCAATTTACATAAACTCATCTCATCTTGGTTTCATTATAAAAATTATCTTGAAAATAGAGAATAAAATGTTACACTCTAGAATTTGCACTGTGGCTATTTCTCGCTGGTAATGTTTTCCCAGTTATTTTCAAATATTCCTCTATATTCTTACCATCATTCTTATATTTTTCCTATGAAATTAAAATAGTTATAAGTAAATACTAATATTATAAATAAAAATGTGCAGTTTAATGAAAATGCTGTATTGTAGAAATTGACATCTGTTTGTATTTCTTTTTTAACATGTTTTTTTTTTTTTAATTTGCATACATTCATGACAGGTAGAAGTAGCACAGGCTACGGACGTGCAGGCTCAGCGGCCATGGCTCACGAGCCCAGCCGCTCCACAGCATGCGGGATCCTCCCAGACCGGGGCACGAACCCGCGTCCCCTGCATCAGCAGGCGGACTGTCAACCACTGCGCCACCAGGGAAGCCCTGTTTGTATTTCTTTATCTGAAGATATTGCTCATGTCACACTGGACTTACTTTTTCTGTATCTTTTTAACAGCTTTATTGAGATATAATTTACATACCCTCCAATCCACTTATTTAAAGTCTACCATTCAACTGATTTTTAAAAAAAAAATTTATTGGAGTATAGTTGATTTACAATGTTGTGTTAGTTTCAGGTGTACAGCAAAGTGATTCAGTTATATATATATCCACTCTTTTTCTTTTAAGATTATTTTCCCATATAGACCATTACAGATTATTGAGTAGAGTTCCCTGTGCTATACAGTAGGTCCTTATTAGTTATCTATTTTATATATAGTAGTGTGTATACGTCAGTCTCAATCTCCCAATTTATCCCCCACCACTTATCTCCTGGTAACTATAAGTTTGTTTTCTACATCTGTGACTCTACTTCTGTTTTGTAAATAAGTTCATTTGTACCCCATTTTTTAGATTCCACAAATAAGCGATATCATATGATATTATCTTTCTGTGTCTGACTTACTTCACTCAGTATGACAATCTCTAGGTCCATCCATATTGCAGCAAATGGCATTATTTATTCTTTTTTATGGCTGAATAATATTCCATTGTATATATGTACCACATCTTCTTTATCCATTCGTCTGTTGATGGACATTTAGGTTGCCTCTATGTCCTGGCTATTGTAAATAATGCTGCAGTGAATATTGGGGTGCATGTATCTTTTCGAATTATGGTTTTCTCCAGGTATGTGCCCAGGAGTGGGATTGCTGGGTCATATGGTAGTTCTATTTTTAGTTTTTTAAGGAACCTCCCTACTGTTCTCCTTAGTGGCTGTACCAATTCACAATCCCCTTCAACAGTGCATTTCTCTAATAATTAGTGATGTTGAGCATCTTTTCCTGTGCTTTTTGTCCATCTGTATGTCTTTGGAGAAATATATATTTAGATCTTCTGCCCATTTTTTAATTGGGTTATTTGTTTTTTTATATTGAACTGCATGAGCTGTTTGTATATTTTGGAGATTAATCCCTTCTTGGTTTCTTCATCTGCAAATATTTTCTTCCATTCTGAGGGTTGTCTTTTTGTTTTGTTTATGGTTTCCTTTTCTGTGTGAAAGCTTTTAAGTTTAATTAGATCCCATTTGTTTATTTTTGGTTTTATTTTCATTACTTTAGGAAGTGGGTCAAAAAGCTTCTTGCTGCAATTTATATCAAAGTGTTCTGCCTATGTTTTCCTCTAAGAGTTTGATGGTGTCTGGCCTTACATTAAGGTCTTTAATCCATTTTGAGTTTATTTTTGTGTATGGTGTTAGGGAGTGTTCTAATTTCATTCTTTTACATGTAGTTGTCCAGTTTTCCCAGCACCACTTATTGAAGAGACTGTCTGATTCTAGTGCATTCACACAGTTGCACAATCATCACCGTAATCAATTTGAGAAAATTGTCATCACCCCCAAAAAAACTCCATAGCCATCAGTAATTACTCCTATTCCCCAAGCTCGCAGAGGGAAAGGAGATGTGATGATGGAAGCAGAGGTTGGAAGGATGCGAGGAGGGGCCATGGGCTAGGGAACATAGGCAGCACATAGAATTTTTAAAGGACAAGAAAATTAATTCTCCCCTAGGGCCTCCAGAGAGAAATGCAGCCCTGCTGACACCTGGAATTTAGCCCATTGAGATCCATGTCAGACTTCTGACTTACAGAACTAAAAGATAATAAATTTATTTTGCTTTAAGCCACAAGGGTTTTAGTAATTTGTTACAGCAGCAATAGAACACTACTACACTAGGGTATTAGGAACAAAATTTATTTTTGTGTATTGATCTTGTATCTTGCAACCTTGCTATACTCACTTACTTATTCTAATCATTTTTAATTAATTCCTTAGAATTTTCTATATACAAGACCATATCATCTTTGAAAGACATAGTTTTACTCTTCTTTTCCAATCTGGATACATTTTACTTTTCTTTTTGCCACTCAGCTTGTGGGGGGATCTCAGTTCCCCAACCAGGGATTGAACTTGGGCCCCTGGCAGTGAGAGCACCAAGTCCTAACCACTGGACTGCCAGGGAAGTCCCTTCTTTTCCTTGAATACATAATTATCCTGTCTAGAACCTCCAGTACAATTTTGAGCATAAGTGGCAAGAATGACATTCTTATCTTGTTCCTGATCTTAGGGACAAGATGATGTTAACTTTGGGTTTTTGCAGATGCTATATATCACGTTGAGGAAGTTCCCTTCTATACCTAGTTTGTTGAGTTTTTTCATCATGAAAGAGGGATTTTGTCAAATGCTTTTTCTTGTCTATTGAGATAATCATGTGGTTTTGCCCTATGTTGTAAGGGAACCCAGGATTTGTTGTACTCAGGTGTGGTAAGACAGGCAGACATGAAAATGACTGTTATAATACATTTACTCATAATTCCATAGAAACAGGAGACATGGCACTCTGCAGGGCCATACACAGAAACACCAGGGTCAGTCAGACAAAGAGAGTGATGAGAAAATGTGTGCAAGAAACTTTACTGTGGTTTCTGCAGAAAGGAATGGGTGAGGCAGGGAAAGCAGGTTTAGGATGGGATAATTTGGATAATTTCAACAGGTTCTAGGGAATAGGGATTGACTCTGGTTGTCTTGTACCTAGCCCTGGGGTGATTAGGGCAGGGGGTAATAACCCTGAGTGTGAGAGCCAGATAGAGAAGGTGGTTAGGGTGTAGGCTCTGGATTGGTTGGTTTGCACATGGAGGGTACACTTTGGGGCAAGCTGTTTGCTGTCTCTAGAAACTGTTTCATTCTGGGAGGGGCAGTCCCTTCAGGGTCAGCCAGGCTCCCAATAAAAGCATCTGAAAACAGAAGAATAAAAAGACATGCTTAATACACCCTGTATTCTATTGAAATTATGTATTACATGAATAGATATTTGGATATTAAACCAACATTGTATTCCTGGATAAACTCCACTTGATTATGACATATAATCCTTTATACATTGGTAGATTTGATTTACTAGTATTGTAAGAATTGTTAGAATTATTTTGTCTGTATTTTTAAAAGATACTGGTCTATAGCTTTGTTTCTTGTTTGTTTGTTTGTTTTCCTGTAATGACTTTGTCTTGTTTTGAGTAAAGGTAACCTCATAGAATGAGTTGGGAAATGTTACCTGCTCTACTATTTTGGAGGAGATAATTGTGAAGAATTGGTATTATTCCTTTAAATATTTGGTAGAATTGACCCATGAAGCCATCTGAGTCTGGGCTTTTCTTTGTGGGGAGTTTGTAAGTTAATGATTCAGTCTCTTTGCTTGTTATAGATCTATTCAGATTTTCTGTTTATTCTTGAGTCACTTTCAGTAGTTTGTATCTGTTTAGGTGTTTTTCATTCTGAAATATTTTGAGCCAATTTTTAAGTGCATAATTTCATGAACGTTTTCAAATTTATTAACACAGTTATATAAATACTTCTCTAATGAGTTGTATCTTGTTTATATTTGATATTATGTCTCCTTTCAATAAAGCTCAGAGGAAGACAAAGCCGAGGGTAGCATTGAGCTTGGAGGTTCCTTCAGAAAAGAAATGTAAGTATTTATTAGGTGGTCCATGTGAAATTGCTCTTTATAAAATCAAAAATGGTCAAATATTTTTAATTTCATATGGTTCAACTTCATTAGTTACCTAAAAATATCTCAGTCTTTGTTTATAACTAAATTCCTTATCTTTCCCTTCATTTTGGCTGTTCTGTCTCCTACCTTAATCTGCTAATACATCCAAACACCCAAGCAAAAACAGTGTTACTTGAGACACCTTAAGCCTCTTGCTGTTTCACCTCCTCTGTCCTAAGTCAGTCTCTAGTTACTGTAGACTCTTATGGTCAGTGTGTCTCTGTGACTTATATCTCACTCCTCTGCATCTCCACAATGTGGTTTTGGCTGAAGTTCACACTTTTTCTCACTTGGATTATTGTCCCTAGTCATTCCCTCTTCTCCCTCCTAAAATCATTCCTCTACCCTGCAAAAAAATAGATTCTCTTTTCTCCTAATATAAAGCATATGCTTTCCTCTGATTTAAAAATCTTTCACTGACCACAGGATGAAATCTAAATTTACTTGCAATAGCCTATGTTCCTCCTCAATGCTTTTCCTACACCTAAACGTTCCAACAGGCAGCTTACTGCACCGTTCTGTCCTCTGAATCCCAGTGATCACAAGGTACGTCCAGTGACTGATTCCTTTAGAATTCTACTGCCTACTCCACTGAATGCTTGGAATGTTCTTCATTTTTTAGCAGCCCAGTGAACTCGTGCTCATGTTTTAATTTTCAGCTTAAATGTCTACAACTGTAAATCAACTTTTCTGCCAACCATCCTGCCCTAAACTATTAAAATTTACCAATTACCTACATATCTCCACCCAACTCTGTACAAATACTATCATAAAAATTACATTTTGTTTATAAAAACATGTGAGTACACACGCACACTTATACATACAATCCGTATTCCTCTATGGAATTCGAAGCTCCTTGGCAGCAGTGACATGCATTATTGGTACAATTATCTCTACTGTTTCTTTTTGGTTGAGGCTCATTTGGTAAGAGTTGCAGAAAAAGTAAGAGAAGACATATATATATGAGGATGATGATGATGAGCTGGGAGCATTGTGTAACAAACAAAAAGCTTCAGCAAACAAGTGTGTCTTAATTTGTATGTGGATTTCTTAGGACACAGTGGAAGAAGCAAACAGCATTAGGCAGAAGCCATTCGTAAGGAAAGGGGTGGTGGGCATGAAGCACACAGAAATATGTAAATGAGAATCAGTGAATAAGGTTGTTAATCATGTTAGCTCATAATTTTCACCAAGAGGAATGAAGTAGGCCAGGATTCAAAGAGGATATATGCTTATTTTGTACTTAGTGTGTACCAAGTATACTATGTTGTTTCTTTGTTTGTTTACATTTAATAAAATTCCTATAGGATGAGTCAATTTTTCTCAGTCTAGTTCTATTGTGTGATAAGTAATACTAATTCAGGGATTACTTTTTTAAAAACCTTGTCTTGGTTCTCATTTGTATTTTAATGAGGCTTGCTAGTCATATAACATCTTAAAGCAGAAATTTTGGAAAAGGTTTAAATATCATTTTTTCATATTTCTAAATTACAAAGGCTCAGAATATCATGGGAAAATTACATACATTAAGATAAGTGACTTTCCCAAAGTCAGTTATTTTATAGGCAGAGAAACCCAGTGTGTCTCATTCCAGCTTCTTTATGGCCTCCCCTGCATTGTCCTGCCACCCCAAGACTAAGTGGGCTAGATTTACTCATGTGTCATGGTTGAAGGGGATCAGGGTTGGATGAACTGCTGTTGAAGTGACCATCAAGTGTGTGATATATCACACGTGCTGGTCCACTTAAATCAATGCCCAGATGGTAGAGGGTTTGCATAGGTGTGGAGCTGTGCATAAAGCTTCTCCCAGTGGATGAGTCGTGGTCATGGACAAGGGCTTCAAATGCATAGAGCGCAGGATCATCTTAGGGGTGTCCCCAGAACCCCCTCCCAGGTTCCAGGATGGCTTCATACTGTAAGCACTGATTCTTTACATTTGTTGAGTGGAGAACTAGGAATTAAGCACTCTTCTTAGACCGTGAGACTCTCTTCTCTCTGTTCCACGGGAATATTTTTTGTCTCCAAAGGAATGTTGCACTGGAATGGTGTAAATTTCACGACAGCTTATAGCGTGTTGAGAAGAATATCATCCTTGACATCAAGACCTGAGTGGTCTGGGTCCTTCCGAGTGGTAGTTTTGTATCCTGGAACCTTTTAAATGATCTCTCTTGGTTTGGCTTTTCATCTCTAAATCAGTGAGAGTAATTCCTACTTTACCTATTTCTCAGGACAGCTGTGAAGATTAAATGAGAATTTATGCATAAATGTCTTGTCAACTACAGAAGTTTCTCCAGTATTAGGTGCTATTATGTAGAAGAGCTGAATAAAAGGAAGAATAAATTTTCACTAAAGACAAAGACAAAGCCAGTCACACAGCATGAAGTACCTGCAGCTGTAAAAGATTATTATCAGAAAAGAAGACACCAAATCTGTTCTCTAAGATTAGATGTAGATCGTATTTTAAATCCCTTAAACACCACTTAATCCTCCCCTATTTTAAATAACTGTATAGTTTTAAAAATAATTGTTCTTTGAAGAGAATGTGAAAGATACAAAAACGTTTACAGAAGAAAAAACAAACAAACACCTATATTTAAAAGCTGAGGCTACCCACAATTTATATGTGTACTTCCTTACCTGTAAACACTAAATATTCAGCTTTTTTCTGGTGTTTTAAGCATATATTTACATTCCTTCAAGATCCTATGTGAACGTTCACTTAATGGGTACATAAAATTCTTATGATGAAGATTTTCCTTCTTTTCTTGTAAAATATTGCTTTGTTTGTTACCAGTCTTCTCTCTCCCCTTAGCCAGCAGCAATGCCAGATGACTCTCCCTGACCTTAGCCCACTGGTTTCCATCCCACCTGTCCTCTCCTCTAGGCTCCTTGTTACTGATTGATAAAGAAATATACTCCTATAAGTACCCAACTCCTGCCTGGATCCTCTGTTGATATGGATAGGGGATTGAGGCTGAGGCCAGTGGGAAAATGCTCCCACCACACACACACACACACACACACACACACACACACCTTGTTCATCCTGGAAGGGCAGCACTGCAGTCTCCACCCTGGCTTCCCCCTTTCTCACCCCCCACCTCACACTGAACCCTCCAACTGCCATTCCCTCTGTTAAGAGTAATGACTCACTTTCTAGGGATCTAGGCTAAGACCCTAGAGAACAGCCCTTCACTATTCTCTCCCAGGTGCCCACAAGCTCTAAAATACCCCAGGTGCTTCAGTGGATGGGTCCATTTCTCTTTCTCTGTTTCCTCCTCTAGCCCTGGACTTGGATTTCCCATGGATGAGGGAAGCTGAACCATGATGGGGAAGACCGGACTTGGGACTGGGCATCCCAAAGCCAGGAAGGCTATGGCTCCCTGATTCTATGAATGTTCAAGGCAGAGGGCTAGAGACAGTGAGGACTGATTCCTGCCTATTTCCTGGGCCAGAAGTTTACTCTATGAGATGCCAGCACCTCAGTTGATTGTGCTTTTCTTCCTCCTTCACTGGCCCTTTGATTGCTGGAAATGCTTTCCAAATTCTGAGCTAAGGATACTGGTGATCTTTGTGTTCTTTGTTGCTGCGACATTGCAGCTTTTTTCTATCCCTTCCCAGGCAGACAAATTTTTGAGAAGCCATCGCTAACCACACACATTTTATCCTGGAGTCTAAGTCACTTTGTGTATGTACAGAGAAAATAATATTCAGTTTTTCTGAGACAGGAGGTAAACTGTGATACCAAATGCTTAATATGGTATGATTTGTAAATATAGAGCAGCAAAATGAATAATTTATTATAATTACATTGGCCATGTCACAAATAATTTGGCACAATGATATACTAGTTCTTTAGGGCCACAGACTGGGAAGCTTAAACAAGAGAAATTAATTTCCTTACAATTCTAGAGGCTAGAAGTCCAAGATCAATGTATCAGCAGGGTTGGGTTTCCTTTAAGCCTTTCTTCTTAGCTTGTAGATGGCCTTCTTCCCACTGTGAGCATGCTCTAACCTACTCTTCTTATAAGGACATCAGTCATTTGGATTAGAGCTCACCCATATGACCTCAGTTTAACTTAGTTACCTCTTTAAAGACCTTATCTCCAAATACAGTTACATTCGGAGGTACTGGGGATTAAGACTTCAGCATATAAATTTGGAGGGACACAGTTCACCTCATAATAGATGTTAAGAGCAATCCAGAATGATTTTTTAAATAGTATCGCATTTTGTTGAAAAGATAATTATCTGTTTCAAAGAGTTATTAATTCATTTTAAACATAAATTCATACATCAGACTGTAATTCTTATTAATTCACACAATATTTAAGCTATGGCATTCAAGTATTATGTTCAAAGTTCATATCAAGAGCATGAGCATTCATTGCTAATTCAAAATAAAAATAAATTTGTACCAGAAAAAAAAAATCTTCCAGTGGGTTTCATAAAAGTTGCTTTAAAATTTAGCACTCAAGATAATCAAAAGAACTAACATTGTACATCATATTCTAATTCCCTTGTGTGTTTGAAACATTGACATATAAAATGCCTTTAAGGAAATGCTTGTAATTATTGTACTTTAGTACTTTATATTCTGCATGTTCAGGAAATGCAACAAAATCTTAAGTAATAGAGTATCAAAATCAAAATTACTCTTCTATCATTATCAGCATTCTAATAGTCCCTTGCCAACAATATACCAGGACATTTTAAAAAGCTTTGCAAACAGCAATAAGAAGTGAATGTTTCTTATCCCTGATCAAAGAAAACCCACAGAAAAGAGTTTAAATATCCAAAGTAAAATATGTATAACAATCCTGATTTCTATAATAACCATCTTTATTACAAGAGCTTTTTAAGAACAAATCTGTTTGTAGTTTAGAAAAGTTCAGATAATTTTTGGAATTTAAAAAATAAAATATGCCCTTTAAAATCATATAAAAACTTTTTGTTCTGTGATTTTTTTAAATTCTAAATTCTTTAGTATTTACAAGATGAATTTTATGTATCTAATATTTCACATTTATTATAATTGGTTATTTCAATAATAAAGTATAAAAAATTTTGTGTCTTCTTATTTCTTTTATTTTTATAGTTTAAAAAATTTTAAACTTGAACTCATTTATCTTATAATTGGAAGTTTGTACCTTTTGACCACCTTCACCCCTTTCCCCTACCCAACCTCCAGGTCTGGCAACCACTAATCTTTTCTCTGTTTCTATGAGCTGATTATTTTAAATTCCACGTATAAGTGAGATCATGCAGTATCTTTCTCTGTCTGACTTAATTCACTTAGCATAACATCCTTAATTTCCATCCACATTGTTACAAATGACAGGATTCCCTTCTTTTTCATGGTTAAATAATAGTCCATTATATATATATGTATATATCACATTTTCCTTATTCATTCATCCATCCATGGACACAAGTTGTTTCCATGTTTTGGCTATTGTGAATAATGCTACAATGAACTTGGGGGTACAGATATCTTTTTGAAATAGTGATTTCATTTCCTTCTTGTTATATACCCAGAAGTGGAATTTCTGGATCTTTTGGTAATTCTATTTTTAATTTTCTGAGGAACCTCTATACTGTTTTCCATACTGACTGCACCTATTTATATTCTCGTCATGTAGAAGGATTTCCTTTTCTCCACATCATCATTAGGACTTATTCTTATTTCTTACTTCACAAATCAGTCTAACTCTCTATATGCAATTATACTGAGTAGTTCAGAAATATTTCAAACTACATGAATATTTATAGTTAAACATTAAGATGTATTTCTTTCTACTAAATTGTGCTTTGCAACACAGAGTGAGGTGAAAAGTTGAAATGTATCCTATTTCCAATCAATATTGTCTATTATTCGGTCACAATATTAATTCCTGACACTGACAATTTGAAATATTTTGTTTTATATATGTCTTGATATGAATAAAATGGGCATTTGTGTTGTTTTTCATTGTGATTTCCTCTTCCCATCTATCTGAATCTCCCTTTGTTATGGTGGTGAGAAGGTTAAAGAGAAAGGTGTTCTCGTAATAGCAAAGCAGAGGACTTCCAAATGGTATTAATTGAAAACAGAGTAGTAAAATTTGACTAAACGCTTTCAAACAAGCAATGGAGCCCTGTTCCCTTACATTCTCCATCACTTACACATTTCATCAGGTCAGAAAACATGTAAATATAAGCCCCCAGTGTCTTAACTGAGTTTCCTTTTTATTTCCTCAGACCAGGTTTCCATCTCCACCCCTCTTTCTTGAATCAGCACAGTTGCCTTGTAACTGCTCCCTACCCAGTTTCTTCTTTGTTCACAGGATATAACATTCATAACACATCCTAATGTATGTTATCTTTATTGCATCCTTCTCTTCCCTGTTGAAAATTTATGTGACTCCTCCCACTGAATTATTTTTATTCATAAGAACAAACAACAAATTTGACAAAGATGTGACCCAAACCCAGGTTTAACTAACCCCAGATTCCTTGATTTTTTTAACTATATGTTATTCTATCTATGAGTGTCTCTCAATTCTACATAGTGAATTTTACATGAAAAAAATAATTATTATGGTACCTATTTATTAACTTGAATTATCTTTATTTTGATGTTACTTGAATATCCATGATACAAACTGTGAATTTCTCATGCCTAGAATTTCTATACATTGATAAAGCCAAAAACAAATTTGTAAAGTAAATAAAAATAATATTAAATCAACAAAACAAAGATGCTTAAAACCACTGCTAAATTCACATTCTCCTTAAAATACTAGGAAACAAAATATGATATTTCAAGGAGAAAGAAGATATATAAAACTTTGAAGGTAAAAGAGAAAACTATTATTAAAAGTGAATGATGTGAGCTTCCCTGGTGGCACAGTGGTTGAGAGTCTGCCTGCCACTGCAGGGGACACGGGTTCATGTCCCAGTCCAGGAGGATTCCACATGCCACAGAGCGGCTGGGCCCGTGAGCCATGGCCGCTGAGCCTGTGTGTCCGGAGCCTGTGCTCCGCAATGAGAGAGGCCACAACTGTGAGAGGCCCGCATATCGCAAAAAAAAAAAAGTAAATGATGTTAGCATTGGCTTGAGAAAGTCAACTAGCAAATTATTTAAAATAATGAGTCTAATCAGGGGGTAAGTAAAAGGGAACCCTTGAAAAATGAATGGCCTCCACCACAGATCAGAAATGACTAGTTTGAAAACATACCATAAAAAGAAAATTCTATACATAATGGAAGCAAATATTATAACTTACCTGGAGGTTAATTTGAAATACACCAGATTTTGTGAAGAGAAATGTTTTAGAGGAATAATGTATATAAGGGGTCATCTGAATAAATATCTACTATTTCTATGCATGTTCATAGATAGAAAACAGAATATGCAAAAACTCAGTTCTCCCTGAATTAATTTACAAATTCAATGCAACAGCAATCAAGACTTCAATAGGATTTTTAATGAAAGCTGCAAATTGATTCTAAATTTATAGAGGAGAGTATATATGCAAAAATAGCATATACATGCAGGTAAATAAAATGAGTGTGGTTAAAATGTAAGTAATAGAGAAACATAGATTAATTACATAGTACATAAACATAGGACCTCTGAGGTAGGGAAAATCTTAAGTAGAAAAAAAAAGCCTTAATGGGAAATTTAGTTAAATTAGAAGATTCATGCAACAAAGGACTTCACAAATTCCCCTGTAATTGATTTCTAATCTCATAATGTTGTGGTCAGAAAAGATGCTTTATACAATTTCAATTTTCTTATATTTACTGAGGCTTGATTTGTGACCCATGATGTGATCTATCATGGGGAATATTCCATGAGCACTTGAGAAGAAAATGTATTCTGCCACTTTTGGGTGGAATGTTCTGTAAATATTGATTAAGTCTATTTGGTCTGTTGTGTCATTTAAAGCTTGTGTTTCCTTATTTATTTTCTGTTTGGATTATCTGTCCACTGGTGTAAGTGGGTGTTAAAGTCCCCCACTATTTTTGTGTTACTGTCAATTTCTCCTTTTATGGTTGTATTTGTCTTATGTATTGAGGTGCTCCTATGTTGGGTGCATAGATATTTACGATTGTTATATTTTTTTCTTGGATTGATCCTTTGATCTTTATGTAGTTTCCTCCTTGTCTCTTGTAATAGTCTTTATTTTGAAGTCTATCTTGTCTGCTACTCCAGCTTTCTTTTGATTCCCATTAGCATGGAATATCTTTTTCCATCCCATCACTTTCAGTCTGTATGTGTCCTTAGGTCTGAAGTGGGTCTCTTGCAGACAGCATATATATGGGTCTTGTTTTTGTATCCATTCAGCTAGTCTGTGTCTTTTGGTTTGAGCATTTGATCCATTTATATTTAAGGTGATTATAGATATGTATGTTCCTATTACCGTTTTCTTAATTGCTTTGGGTTTGTTCTTGTAGGTCTTTTTCTTTTCTTGTGTTTCCTGCTCACAGAAGTTCCTTTAGCATTTGTTGTAATACTGGTTTAGTGGTGCTGAATTCTCTTAGCTTTTGCTTGTCTGTAAAGCTCTTGATTTCTCTGTCGATCCTGAATGAGATCCTCACTGGGTAGAGTAATCTTGGTTGTAGGTTTTTCCCTTTCATCACTTTAAATATGTCCTGCCATTCCCTTCCGGCCTCCAAAGTTTTTGCTAAAAAATCAGCTGATAACCATATGGGGATTCCCTTGTAGGTTATTTGTTGCTTTTCCCTTGCTGCTTTTAATATTTTTTCTTTATATTTAATTTTTGTTAGTTTGATTAATATGTGTCTTGGCATGTTTCTCCTTGTGTTTATCCTGCCTGGGACTCTCTGCACTTTCTGGACTTGATTGACTATTTATTTTCCCATGTTAGGGAAGTTTTCAACTATAATCTCTTCAAATATTTTCTCAGGCCCTTTCCATTTCTCTTCTTATTCTGGGACCCCTATAATTCAAATGTAGTGAGTTTGATGTTGTCCCAGAGGTGTCTGAATCTGTCCTCAATTCTTTTCATTCTTTTTTCTTTATTCTGTTCCTTGGCAGTTATTTCCACCATTCTATCTTCCAGCTCACTTATTCATTCTTCTGACTCAGTTATTCTGCTGTTGATTCCTTCTTGTGTACTTCTCATTTCATTTATAGTGTTGTTCATCACTGATTGTTTGTTCTTTAGTTCTTCTAGGTCCTTGTTAAACGTTTCTTTTATTTTCTCCATTCTATTTCTTAGATCTTGGATCATATTTATATCATTATTCTGAATTCTTTTTCAGATAGCTTGCTATTTCCTCTTCATTTATTTGGTCTCATGGGATTTTACCTTGCTCCTTTGTCTGCAGCATATTCCTCTGTCATTTCATTTTGTCTAACCTACTGTGTTCAGGGTCTTCTTTCTGCAGGATGCAGGGTCGTAGTCCTCTTATTTCTATTGACTACTCCTTACTGAGTGAGGTGGGTCCAGGGGCTTGTGTAGGCTTCCTGGTGGGAGGGCCTGGTGCCTGCACCCTTTTGGGTGGAGTTGAGTCTTTTCCCTCTGATGGGCAGGGCTGTGTCAGGTGGTGTGTTTTGGGGTGTCTGTGAGCTTAGTATGACTTTAGGTAGCCTATCTACAGATGTGTGAGGCTGTGTTCCTGTCTTGCTGGTTGTTTGGTTTGAGGTGTTTAGCACTGTAACCTGCAGGCAGTTGTTGGGGCCAGGTCTTGGTGTTGATATGGATATCTTCAGGAACACACACACTGATTAATATTCCCTGGGTCTGGTGTTCCAGCATCCTGGACTTTATATTCCCACCCTGGAGACCCAGGACTTGTCCCTGGTCAGGGAACCAAGAGCCCACAAGCCACACAGTGTGGCCTGATAAAATACAGAGAAAAGAAAAGAAGAAAGAAAAAAATATATCAAAACAAAAAATGAAAAGCAAAAAAGGAAAAAGAACAACAGACAAACAAAACCTTGGGTCAGTAGCAAGAACAGAAGAAAACAAACAGCAGCAACAGCAACACAACACACACTTATACACACACACACACACACACA